AAAACTTAATGATTTCATCTAATTATAGCTTAAGTTGCAACTGCAACTGGCCACGCAAAAGAGGGCGGAGAGACGGCTGGCTAATTTAGTTAGCCGTCCGCAGTGCGGAAATGCCACAAACACTCGTCGACACTTCACGCAGGAGCCGAGTCGAGTCGAGTCCCAGGAGTCGGCAGACAGCAGTCATCATCAGCTAACTATGACAATCTATGACATCTGCTGACGTTCCCCCGAAGCGGCAGAAGCAGCAGCAGCATCCGTTGGAGTAGCAGAAGTATCTTCTGCAGCAGGCGCAATGCGGCTGTCTAAATTTAGATACATCTACTGCTCCGACTGCGCCTTTTATGGGCTTTGATCTTGGACCAAACGTTGGCTGGGTTTGGGCTCGCGTTCGTTTTCGACTTCGAGTTCGAGTCTGTCCAACGCTAATTGTCCTTTGGCATTCCTTCTTTACATCATCATCGTCTTTGAGGCGTTCTGTAGGAAAGACCTCTTGTAGCATCCACAGCGTCCTTCACAATAACAACGTTTATAATTGGTGTGTTTCGAGTCTTTTGTGTCTATATTTAGACCCCAACCTGACCCAACGCCTTGATTATGTTGCTCAAATTACTGTAATTTGGCCTAAGTAGACACTGTCTTTGATTTAGCTGATAGTCTAGTACATTTCCGCACGCTTTAAACTCATATTTTGTGTATCCAGCAACCTTATCAATTACTGCAAAAGTAAAAGTAAACATATTCCACACAAGCGAGAGCGATTTAAATGTAAATTTCCATCTGCATAAATTATTGAAAAAAAAAGAAAGAAAGGTGGGAAGGAGTGGAACTAAGCGAAATGAAGCAATCACCGTGTTCATAGACAAAGGCAATTAGCATGAAAACGTCATCATTTTTGATGTTTAATAATTATGCCATAAAAAGAACCAAAAAAGGGGCGAGCGAGGTCTTCCTCATGTCCGCTCCCTATGCAAATGGTAGCCACAGTACCTAGTACCCTGGGACTCCTATCACAGCGTGACCATCAAGGTGGGGTTTTTGGCTGCTTCTTGGAAGCTGTCGTCAGCTGGAGAACTGATTAGCATCGAATGAGGAACGACCAACGGCCACCAGCCACCAGCCACCAGCTCTTTCTCTTGATTGAACTCTGATTTAAAGCATGCAAATTAGCACAACGTTTAAGTCTCAGTTCGGGAATGATTTGAATATTGCCTAGTTAGGCAGACAGCAGAATGGAGAAAGAGTCATAAACGCTTTACGACCATGGAATACTCTATAAACCCACAGAACACACTGCGAGTCCCATAGATGTTTTCGTATTCTAAAAAACAAAGAAACGTTTACCTAAACTTTAATAAGAATCTTTTGTAGAAACAGACTCATTCCACTATTCAGATTAATGCACTGAAAATGCTTAAAAGAAATTCTTAAATTCCCTTTTGTTTACCAAATAAAAAATGCCATTTCAAGATACTTTTCGGATGACAACAAAACCATCAGGCTGGCTTTAATTACAGCTACAACCGGTTTATGCCGTTCCAACCACAATTGCTCAAGTTCAGGCAGCTCAGTGGGTGCGCAAAATATTTCTGGCTAAATCAATCAGCACACTGGTAGCCCATGCCCAATTGTATCTGCTAGATACGATCCCCCTTTAGCCACAGACCAGGCACAGACCCAGCCACAGACCCAGCTCAAGCTCCCGCCATAGCCGGCGGCGTCGGCACGGCTGAACATTGCCGGCAAAAGCAATTTTTCTCGGTCACTGGCACAGAATTTTTGACAGGGTGTGGGTACAAAAAAACACCACCACAAAACCCAAAAAATACAAAATACAAAAAAAAGGAGGGTAAAAAGAAGAAACAACAAATACAATACTATAAACAATTACAGCACCAAGGAGGGGAATCTGTGCGGCACGTCTGCGACAAGTTTATAAAAATTCAGATGTTGTCCGGGGCTCTGCCTGGCCGGGGCGAGCTTCTTGCACTGGATTTACTTTTAATGGCCTGCCTTGACCGTATCCCCGTCTCAGTCGCAGTCGCGGGCCCCCTTACCATCCATATAAGTCTGTGCCATTTCATTTTGCTTTGCTCTGCTTTGCTTTGTTTTGTTTTTTGGCAATTTCTCAATAACAATTAATTGGGGAAAGAACTTTCTATTAGCCAGTGTCAGCGTCACCGTCACCGTCTTGATCCTCATCAGCATGCATTTAAGGCGTCGAGCGGTGAAAGTGCTGATATGATCAGGCCTGATACATATATAGGTCCCAGTTCCACGTTCTGTGTGGGCCTCCAATTAAATTCGCGGACTGAAGTGCTTAGTTCTCGATAAGAACAATGTTTGGGGGGGGTTTCTTGTGGATTTCCGCTCCGAGTGGATTTCAGCGAAATAAAACATCAAAATTTACTTAACTGTATCTAGAGGGTTCGCCTTTGTTGTGGTTCACTGTTCAGGCATTCTTTTGATTTAAATTTATTTGTATTTTGGAGACGTCTGGAGAGGAAAGATGTCGAGAAAGCCGCTTCTGATGAGTCATTGTCAGCTGTGGTCCAAGAAGAGTTCTCTTCTTAGAAATCGTTCGCTTATTTGTACTTTTTATTATATTTTATTCGCCGTTCTGTTCTGCCTGTAAAAATGAAATGTTTATAGGCTGCAGGAAATTGGGTTACTGTATTTTGGAGGCTTTTGGCCGCACTGTTCTTTGATGACGCAAAACGGGGCTGACAGGCAGGTAAACTACCTGAGAAGGCAGGCGACACAGCAGCCAACCAAAAATCATCTGCCCAAATATTGCTCAAGAAAATTCTTTGATAAAATATCAAAAAGTTAACTTGAAATTAAGGTTTCAATTTCCTTAATGATAGCCAACCAAAATAAATAGGACAATAATTTGTGCAGACAAATCTCAGCAAATTAGCTTGGATACCGCTAAATAATATTCATAAAAAATAATACCCCGTGCTGATCTGCTCTGTGCCACCACCATCGGGTGGGAGCCCACCGGGAGCACAATTTTCAATTTTCAGAAAGCCAAATTGGAAAATCAGTGGCAGCAACCGACCCGAACCACACGGCGAGGCGAGCCCCGCCACGCTCTTTACGTTGCTGAGGCGTGGAAATATTGAAAACGCTCGCATTATGATAATTTAATGCGTGTGATTATTGAAAAGCATAATAATATTTTTATGGCTCACACATTTTGGCCGGGGAGGGTGTCTTAGGAGGGGACTCGGAGAGATGCGAGATGCGATGCGTTGTGATACGGGGGGGTGGGGACTGCTCTCTGGGCAGTCGAGGGGAAAAGATGTTGCCAATGTCGTTGTCGCATTATTATTGTTATTACCAAGACACATTCTTTTTATCAGCGCAGCGAAAGTGCCAATAATTCGAGGCAATTTATTATTTTAGCATTTGTATATCAAACACTCACACAGCCACTCATGAGTGCTGCCATCCGAGTGCTGTCTTGGCCATTTGCGAATGCAAATCACGTGCGGGCATAAACTGGCGGGGCAGCAACAGCAACGGCAACGGCAGAAGCAGCAAGAAGTCGAGGCTGTCCGCCTGCTGGCGCCGCCTGACATCGACGACGACACGACGACACCTGCGCTATGCGTCTTGGGCTTGAGTTACAGATACAGATACAAAGCTACAGATACAGATACCCAGCAGCCTCCACAACCGCCTCCCCCACCATGATGCTCCATTGAACCTGACACCGATATTGAAATTTCTGCCGACTCTTCTAGGCCAGCTGGAAGTGTGTGGGCGTTTATGAGTTTTGCCTGAGAGGGGCTAAGAGGGGGGAATCAAAATCAAGCCAAATTTAAATTTTATACGCAGCCAAGGAAGTGGTTCAGTGGAAAGAAACCAAAAGCAAAACCAAAACCAAGCGAAATGTATTCTGTCAAAAGCTTTCACCTCTAGAGCTCTCTTGGAATTAATTTCACTCAGATAAATATATATATATATATTTATATACATTTTTATCTTCATGTTTATGACAAAATCGACGAGGGGATTTCAATTTCTCCCAATCCGGTGGAATGGCAGGGGATCCAGGCGAAAATCAGAGCACGTTCATCGCTGATATGGCAAATTTTGTTTTCGGGCGCTGATCCTTAGCCGGTGCTCAGATTGAATTGGCAATTGAAACATTTTGCGTGAGAAGGAAGTGGCATATCTGGAATGGTCTGGGCTTGGAAGCTAATGAGCAGCTCTTGGCCCGAAACAAAAGCATCCGACGATGTGGAGGCTCATGAATCACCTGTTGCTCTGCCCGATTCGGCGGGGGCTCTGCCCAAACGGTTAACAAATACGAGAACTCGTATTTTCCGGCATAAATCAAGCAAATGAGCGAACAAAACAAAAAGCGCAGTGCCCGAACGAATAAAAAACTCAGGCAAACAGCTGAGGGCAGCTCCAGTTGGCCAATCGTAAGAGACAGGGCCAAAAAAGAAGCCGCATGGGCCAGAATGAAGAACGCTTTTGGCCAAAACCAGAATCAGACTGTAAGACGAAAAGAGAGAGGCAGAGGCAGAGGGAGCGGGAGAGAGCAGTCCGCAAATACAATTTTGCAAAGACAAAAGCGGCAGCGGCAGCGGCGTCGACGTCTGGAGAATCTCCCCTTGGCAGAGGTTCGCTTACAATTTATGCCGACGCCGACGACGCTGACTGACGACGACGATGCCGATGCCGACGTCGACGCCGGCTCCGACGCTTGGCTGGGCTTTCATTACAGCGCGAATTCTGCCCAGAATCGGCAAAGCTCTCGCATTCGCAGTTGGAGTAGCCCTCGCTGCCACAATGGAACATCATCATGACGTTCATTAGCGGCTGCCGTTGTGGCTGCGGCTGCGGCGGCAGAAGAAATTCAGAATTCAGCTCTGCCACAAGGGACACGAGGGTATAAAAGAACCCGGCCCCACTGACCATTGCAGCAAATCTTTCTCGATTCGGTTACGCGTGCGCAGTCTGCAGCAGCGCTCGGTGAGAACTATCCTGACGGCAGGATAACCAACCCCCAACAAATTAGTGAAGTGTGTTCCGTTTAGGTCATATCAGCAGCAGTATAACGCGAGTGATAAACAATTCGATAAACAATTTGCCCCATAAAAAACAATCAAAAAAGTGGTGAGTGCCATAAAGAAGTCCAGCCTGAAATATCTGTACATAAATATAAAATATTAGCAACGAAATTCAATGCAAATCGAAAATGGCAATATACGACTATATATGCATATATTTTTATTCCAATGCAATCAGAGCTAATAAATTCGGTTAAAACCTGATATATAAATCAAGGACTGACAAAGTTATTACCAATAAATATAATAAATATAAAATGCATGTAGAAAATCAATTTGAATCATTTGACGTTGTGTTTCGAGGGCTAAAATGTTTCAACGAGTTGCCCGTGCCTCGTTACCAAGAGTCCGCCCGTGAGGGCAATTTTGATTCATTAAGTTACACTTTTCACTGAAACAAGCCAGACAAATCAGAGTTCTGTGAAGGAGGTTGAAACCTCTTTGCTATTTTTATGTCACTCTAAGACCTCCATCAACCCAAATGGCCAAGCCAAGCACTCCGAAAAGGGACTGGAGAGAAACCTCAGAGTCCTCGATAGCACTTGACCAAAGCGCTTTATTGTTTAGAAGTGCACAAGTCGTCAGTGAATTTTACGCACACGCATTCAAAATTGAAGGTCGCCTTCCAGCCTTCAAGCCCATCAGCTGCCGAGCTCCCGAGCTGCCACTGTTCCCGCAGCTGTAGCTACAACAATGTAAACTTTAATTGACACCATTGTTCGGGCAACACTTTTTGCTCCATTTAACAGCCATAGATTGCCGCCGAGTGCAGAATGCACAGGACAGAAACACACAAAAAAAAACAAAGCAGTGTAAAAAACGTAGAAAAGATAACGAGCGGAGACCCAGTAGAGGGGCGGGGTTGGGTTCCGTCTGAGCCATGTCAGTGCACAAGTCCATCAGTCACTCGGGGACCGGCGCGACACTTCTGCATGGAGGAGCAGTAAGCATTGGCAGTGGCAGGAGCTGAAGCAGCCATCGCTGACCAGACCAGTCATCAATTCCGGGCACGTTGTTCAAATTATTATTATGCGCAAAATCGCAAAAGGATCTCGCACTCCAGTCGCTCTCTCTCTCCCCGGTCTCTTTCTATATCCCTGACATTTGTAGTAGTTACTGCTTGGGCCTGCCACTCGAGCACACAATCAAGAAATTTAAATTTGATTCGTTGCGCAAACTGCCCAACATCAACACCAACACCAACAACCATCGAAGCTCACTCAAGTGTCAAATGTAGGAAAGATAAAGGAAAAAATCATAAAAAAAAAGACTTACACACTTGCACTTGAATCGAAGGATTCCCTCCCTACCTCCTGGTGCTCCTCGGACGCGGTACGTTCCCGTTCTGCATTTCAACTTGACTTCTTGTCAGCTCTTCTGGCTCTCACTTTGGCCCCATTCCCCATCCTCTTTGTGCGCACTTTGTCAATTTGCTTGGCATTCTGCTTTAGTTTTCAACGATTGCCATAAATTAAATTGTTTGTCGCAGGACAACATTGACAGCGTCAGTGGCAGTGGCAGTGGCAGTGGCAGTGTCACTACCCAGTCCCTGTCCCTGTCCCAGTGGCAGCGTTAAATGTTGACAACTTTTTGCCCAGCGATTTATGTGCGGGCGTGGCCCTAATAGGCGGCTAAGTTCCATCAATGGCTGCTTGTTGTAAACAAATGGCAATACAATGCATCAAAGTCAATGCACAGCACAGCAGAGGGAACAACAAAAAAAGAGAGCATACCTCTTGTTGTCAGATATCTATTTGTACATCCCAATCCTAACCTGGAAAATCAAAAGCTAACAGAATGCTGTCCAACCCCAAAGATTTCTGTTTGAATCTATAACAATATCACACTTTCTTTATAAGTCCGTGGGCTGGGCCAACCAAACCATCTGCATAGATAAGAATCGCACAGACAACATCCCAAAATTTTGTGAAAATTTGTTAATTTAAATTCCAATCATTAACCCAACAACAACACAGCAACTATAAATATTAATAATATTTGCACAGCACAGCCCCAAAAGAAGAACCAGAAAGAAAAAGTGAAATGATATCGTTTGTTGGTCATTATGCATTCCGATGGCTATCGCCTGCTCGTCTGCCTTCTGACCAGTTCACTTGTTCGCAAATTATGCTAATTTTATGTGTCAATTATCTGCCAATAAGCAGCGAGAGCAAGAGGGTCGGCGGTGCAGGGGGTAACGTATATACGTATATATTTTTTTGGGTTACTTGGTCAAATGGGGACGAACCCTGAAGTGGCTGCTGCTCATGTGTAAACATGATTTGTGCCAGTCAAGTGGTCAAGTTCTTTTCATTTTTCTGGGTCTTTTGCCCGGCATTTGCATATTTTGTTTGCTTTATGCAAATTGAGACGAATTCGGTTAACGAAAATAAAACAGGAACTTACAATAGACCCCACACAGAAAGCCCCCAGCAACGCAGCCAATTAAATAAGACCATAAAATGCATCGTCTATTGTTCGGAGATCGACCTACTCTTGTGGGCTACTCTATGATATCATAGCTGAAGCTATAATTAGCCGAGAATTTTGGCAAATCCATCAACAGTCAATAGAACATTCCCAGTCCCAACGAGTGCCAATTTTCGCACATTTCACATTTTGGCACTTGGCATCGAAAGGCTTTCTCTGCCTCCAGGCAGCCAGGCCCGATCTGGGTCCCATGACTCCGCTCATGATGCAATTTCAATTAAAACCAAGCGAAGCGTACATCAGACAAACAAACAAACAAGCAAACAAAACCAACAATGAGACAAGCAAGAAAACAAAGTGAAAAAATGTTAGACAAATAAGCAAAACGCTCGAATTAAACAATTCAACTTCAACTTGAACTCCGCCAACTGGAGGCGGCACGCGAACCGCTCGCTCAATGATGTAATCGATTAGATGAAGCCATTATCCCAAGCCCAAGCACAGGCCAAGCTCCGAGCTCTGGCACTCACGAAAACAGGTATCCGCAGCTGTGCCGCTATCTGAATCTGTGCGAGCACTTTGCTAATGGGCGAAAGTCCGGATCGCTTTGAAAAGAAATGGGAGGCAAACTTCTGGTCATGTAATTCCTATGCGGTCAACTCAGACAACAATTCTTGCCTCATGAATCAGCATTTCCAGCATACAAAGGGAGAAATCAAAATATAAATAAAAAGTGTTACACTTAAATCTGCTTGTGGTCCGTTCGGATTCGTGAAGTGCTGAAAAGACAAGCAACTCTGCCGGCTTTTTTTTGCTGAGCTGAACTGAGCAACATCGTCGGGGCAAAGCCCCAAACTTATGCAACGAGCAGTGGGCAAATCTGCCAGGCAAATTACCATAAAATTTACATAAAAGCTTCCGTGTAAAATTTATTTAAAACAAATAAAAAAAGCTACAGCCACAGAAAGGGCAAGAGGGGGAGAAAGAGAGCGAGAGGTTGTGGGGGTTGAGGTATAGAAAATGCACAAAATCCTGTAAACACTATATCTTCTGCTAGGCGGAAGCCGAGAGAGAGGTTGTCTTGTCAGGCAGAGCCATAAACATAAACATAAACTGCCGGCCCGGCCCGATTCTTCCCGTCCCTTCCCTTCCCTGCCCTGCCCGGGCAGACAACAATTGGCAACAGGTGTAGGCCAAGCTATGTATGTGTGAGCCAAGAAAGCAGCAGACCTGGCCCTAGCCATTCCCATAGCCCTGGCTTTAGTCGCAGTCTCAGCCTCAGTCTTGGTCTTGTTCTTGTGCCCTTATCTAATAACAGCAACGATTTGACAGCACAAAGGATAGAAATACACAGCGAAAGAGAGACAGAGAGGAGAGAGAGATAGAGAGTCAAGTGTGAAGCGGATCCCTGAACACGTGCCCCTCCAATTCCGAACAGGTCTTAGCTTGGCTTTGACAATTTTCGGTAGCCCAGAAGTCGGAAACGGTCTTGGGTCGTCCCCGGTGCCTGATCCCTGGTCCCCAGTTGCCCAGTTGTCCTATTTTGTTCTTTCCGAGTTGTAGCTCAAGCCGTTGGCTTTCGTCTGTCAATTTTTGTGTTATTGTCCTACTGTGAGGCTGCTACGTGCAGGGTCCCCGTCCTCTTAAGTCTTGTCATTGTGCAAATTTACAGTTTTTCGCCGCAAAACGTATTGGGTTGAGTGGAGAGCCGTTTGGGGAAATCTTCGAGATTGTGGCATCAAATTCGACACTAAAAAGACAAACACGTTTTGTATTGAGCCCCGAAATGCCTCCTGAGAGGGCTAGACTCAAAATTAGCCGAATGGAAAGGCATGGGAGGGACCTCCATGTGTGACCGAAATGAACCTAGATAGGAAATTAAGTAATTATGCACTTGACTTGCCATTTTTACCATGTCCCAAGCACAGTGCACAGTGCAGTGCATTCCTGGCACTCCATTTAAGCCGGCTTTGGCCAGCCGGCACACATTGTCCCAGTCCCAGTTGCCAGTCGCCATCGAGTAGTCTCAAACGTAGCTCTCAGTCCCTGCCCTTATGCAGATACCAATACCAATTTCAGCTTAGGCCAGCTGTCCCCAAAAATGGCCTGTTCAAACACAGGCACAAGCACGAGCACAAACACAGGCCGTTGCAAGCTGCCATTGACGGAGGGAATATTGGCCCATTGGCATCATGTTCGATTTTGCAGACACAGCGACGTTTTGTCTTTAACTAAATTATAGCTACTACATGGCCAGGGACTCTGGATTCCGAATTGCTGCTGCTGCTGCTCCTGATCGGAACTGGAAGTGGAAGTGGAAGAGGAACTGGAAGAGGAAGTGGAAGCGGAAGCAGTGGCGGAAGGAAGGACAAAACGGGCAAAATGGCTTAAACTGAAATGTGCCAAAAACTTCAATGCCTGCAACTGACGTGATATCTCCAACCTCAACTTCTGAGCTGGGGGAGGGGATCTGGTTCGGGTCTGGACCGTGCCGGGAGTCGACTGAATTCTGGCTTTGCCTGGCAGTCAATAGTCAACTAAACTGCATCAAACTGCCTGCCAAGAGCGGCTGCTGTTTCGCCTGCCCTCTCCCAGCACTCAGTCTCTGTTTCAGTG